CTATGTCTATCATTTTTGATCGAGGTACGCAGTTCACCTCGCACTTCTGAAGGACCGTACAATGTGAGTTGGGCATACATGTTGAGTTGAGCACAACATTTCATCCCTAGATGGACGGACAATCCGAACGCACTATTCAGATATTGGAGGATATGTTTCGCGCTTGCATTATGGATTTCGGGGTGTCACACCTCCTTTTTTCCGAGGGATAGGAAATAGGGAGTTTTTCCAGTTAAAGTGATATTTTTCGAAATGAGATTATTTGTTTAATTCAGAGTCGGCACTTGGGATAACTATTATGGTATCCCAAGTCGCCGGTTTACTTTAAAATCCCAAATAGAGTAAATTAACTCTATTTTTATGGTCCGTCAACACAGAAGACCGGGTAAAGAATTCTGTTAACCCGAGAGAAGGTGTGAGGCACTCCCGAGTTTCATGGTTCTAGCACAGTCGCTTAACTATTAATAATTGGCCTAATTATCTGATTTATTATATGTTTAAATCTTATTGTGCATTTTTAACTTTCTAACCACTTTTTAATTATTTCAATTGCTTTTAGTATTTATGGGATTTATTTGAACAAGTTGCGATATCGCGCACTCGTTTATTTTTGTTCATATTGTGAATCGCGTCACATGAAATGCGCCAACGATTTACAACATGTGTTATTATTGTTTGAAGTTGAGGTCATGTCGCGTGAAACGCGCACTTGAGTTGGAGTTTATATATCGTGACCATGCCACGGGAACCATACCCATGATCAATATGGTTTAATATTCGTCCCTAAAGCAAAATACGATGCTATGATATTATTCAATTTGGCCCTACGATTTGAGATTTTGATGAAGGTTATGGACTTTTGAACCATTGTTGACAAGAAAGGGTATGCATTGAGAAGTAGGTTGATAACATTGATCAAAGAAATTTTGATATTTATTATAAACTCAACCATTCAAAAGAAAACCAGTAGCTTTACTTCTCCTAACAAATAGACTTAGCCCAAAGCCTAACATATTCTTTCAAAAGGAAATCATCAGTAAACAACGAATTTAAAATTGGTGGATGTTGTCGAATTTCTAATTAAACTATAATAATATAAATGATTATTTCGAATCAATTAACAGATAGAGAGCAATACATTGAACCACTAGTCATGATGTAATTGGGCTGACTAGCTAGTAGGCCTGCAGGGGTAAACATGTCAAACCCTTTTGGGCTTACTTGAATCACGCCCAAATCTGTAGCTCTCCAAGGTTCAGAGCTTTAAACCAATTCCACTAATCATTAATGCTAACATGAATCTAATTTTGACTAGATAATTCTGCCAATTTTCAGGGAATACATAACTAAAGAGTTAATAATTTTACATTACAGCGAAAACCTAACATGAATGATACAATTACTAAGTTAAAAAAAATATAGTCTTAGGCATTCTATTACATCAACCCTTCACGAGAGTAGCCATTTCTGAGCCATATGCTTCCTTCTCCTTCACACCCTGATTTACAAAAGAATAGCCATTGGGCTAGCTTTGCAAACCAGTCTCATGGCACACAACCACCAATCAAAGAAATAACCAAATTAGACATATTCTTATCACTGCTAATGTCACTTCAAGCACAAACTATTAATTTGAAGAATAGCATGCTAACAGCAGGTGATGAACTACCAATAAGCATTCAATAGTTTGAGTTTTAATCCAACTATACAGTCATACCACAGATTAACAGAAAAAGAATTCCGAGTAACTTCGAAACCTAAAACATGTTGAATCTATAAAGCCAAACATGAAAAAAGCATAACATATTAGCTTTCACTTTAAATTTAAATCATGTTGAATCTATAAAGCCAACACAAACAAATCATAACAACTCAATTTTTTATTTAACTCTAATAGGGAATCACAGTTTTGAACGGCTACATATCTAAAGGCAGAACAACAACAGAAACTTGAATCAGATTAGGTCGGAAAAGAAAGGTGAAATCTAGCAGCGAAAAATAGTGATAGATTCAGCAATTTAAGCCAACAATCCCATAACTCGAAAACCACTTGAAATCCCAGAAAAGGTGAAGCAAAACCAGTAGGAATTGGAAGAACAAAAACACATTTGAATTTTTTTTTTTGTTTTCTATATCTAAATTGAAATTTTCAGATTGTTTTCCTAGAGAGAAATCAGTGAGGATGGGAGTGTGTATATTCTGCCGAGAATAGTGCATGTATCTCAATCTGTGTATTCAAATCTCTCCAGATGAGTGTATATATGCTATGTTAAAAATGAGGGAGGGTCTGTCAGGAGAGGGAATAATTCAGCGTGAAATCAGGGGGAATGAGAGATGGGAGGGAATATCTGTGACTAAAAAAATGCCAGCTGCCTATCTACAGTTAATTCTTTATCCTTATCCCCCCTTTTCTTTTATTTTTTTCTTGACTCCTAAATCCTCTAAAGTTTGATCCTTTTTCAAAGCACTCCCTTCTATTCCCTTCTAGAAGTGAGATATTTGCTTGAGTCTGGGCCAAATGCCCTGGCCAATGGCCCAAAGCAAAGCAAATCTGGCCTTAAGGAAAAGCCCACTCGAGAAGACAGAACAAAGTTGCAGAAAACTGAAACTTAATTGTAATTAAGGAATTAGCAAGAATGCACTCAAAGACTGACTAAACATATTTTCAGTTAAGATTAAACATATCTATTAATTAATCTATTTTAACAAACAATCCAAGGTAAAACTCATTAATTAATCCGAAATTAAACAATTAAAAAAAAGAAAAAAAAAAGAAAAAAAGAAAAGGGAAATACCTACTAAGGCAAACGACTGCTAGGACATAAGAATGTCAACTTCAAACCTGCCGACGATAACTTGACCGTATTCTTATAATTTTGGAATGAATCAAAACTAACATCGATCGATTGCACTCATCAAGAGAAATCTGTCAGTGTAGGTTTCGAATCAAAACGAGTCAGCTCTTGAGAATGAAACAAGGAAGAGTCAGTTTAAGCTCCTCGTTTTGAAATTTTAGATCTATTACTGGTCATGCTTAAGACGGATTAAAAGAAAATGGATAAGAGATTTGGATTGAGGAAGAGTTGGGGAGTATCTAGTGAAAAGTTGAGACCAAATGGTGGTTGGCCGCCGGCGGAAGATAGGTTTGGGAGTAGTGGCGGCTAGGTTTTAGGGGTCTTTGAGAGATGAAGGAAAGA